GGAAAGAGTAGGAAACATCCTCTAGAGAAGACAGTATGGAATAGGATCATTTACGCATGTAGAAGGGTGCTTTGTCTTGGCAAAGTGAAAGGCCACCTCGTTATGTGAGACAAGGGTGGAGACAGCAGCAGCAGGCCTCTGAGCGATGTGAGATGACAAGGGGAGATGATGGAGTTTTGGGTGAAGGCTCCTCAGCAAAGGATGAGGAAAGGCTAGGTGGGCGCCCAAGGGAGTTTGGAGGAGATGAAAAGGTTTGAAAAAAATGGCTGAGGTGAGTGGGATAGCGAGTCAATTAGGGAGGCTTAAAAAGATTGCCTTGCCACAGTGAGGGATCAGTTGAGATTATGTAACAGACCTGTAGTTGAGCCACAGTTTCAATGGTTTTCTCCAGCACTGTGCAGCAGCATGTGAGAAGGAAGGTCATGGTGGGAGAAATCCAAGGCTGAAGCTTAGCAAGTCATTTAATCTTCCTGAGCCTCTGTTTTTTTCATCCGTAAAATGATTCTAATACTCCTTTCACAATCTACCACACAGGAGTGCTGTGAGGATCACATAAAAACATGGACATATTTTTTTTAAAAAGTATATATTTTTTTTCAAAGCTGGTATACTGGTATGCTTGGAATTATCTACCCTACAAAGAACCATGACAGGCAGTGTAGCAAAATGGGTTAAGAGCCAGCAAAACCTGGGTTCAATTCTCACTTCTGACATACTGTAATTCATTGACTGTTAGCACTTTTCTGGAACTGTAGAAAGTAGTTTATGATGTTGCTAGACTAGTAAGACTTACTATATATATTTTTGGAGGTGGCCATAAATCATGCCAAAAAAAAAAATCACTACTCGATCAACAGTAGGTACATTGTGATGACCTTTCTTCTCCTTCTTAGCAGTTTGAGACTTTTTTCCAACCCTCCCACCACCAGCTCAGCCTCTCTCCTCCATCCCAAGGCTACTTCTGTCTCAGTGCTGACCTCTTCCTAGTGTCCTCCCACCCCACCATCCCAACTCCTGACAGCCTCTCCCCTTCTCCCTGAGAAAGGTTTTAGCTTCAAGGTCAAACACCACCATTATCGTCATCAGATGACACATGAGAGTGTTTCCTAGTGGGAGGTTACACTTACCTAAAAAGCACTTTCAGTGGGTGGACATGTTTCAAGTGCTGCTGAGAGGTAAATTAAAGGTGGTGAACAAAGATCGGAAGTTAGGGTTCTCAACTGGTCCAGTTATTTGTTGCTGGAAGTTTTTGTTTTAAGGAAAGTTTTGGAGGTAAGTGTTTCAATTGATCAATCTTAAGACACTTCAAAGCAAAGTCTTTTATTTAAGGACATTTTGTGCCAAGAATCCTAATAGACTATTCATCTTTTGTTCATGTTTTTCACTTTTATATACACATACATATTTATATATTTTTTTGACAATAGCAAATTGAATACAGAGCAATTCCTGATGAAAGATGATCAGACTATGAGACAAGCCCCCATCTTTATATCCACCCACCAAAAAAGTCACAGCTAGGGAAACTGGCCACCACATGAAACCATTATCACATTAATATTTTTCAACAGCATCAGCCCATACTCACTTCTATAGACTGAGGTGTAAATATACATTCAATTGAATGTAAGTTTATCCAAAATGTCCATAATGCCTCTGGCTCCCATTTGAGATCACATTTAATATAAATAAATCACATTTTGGATAAAGAACGCAGGCAAATTCTGACAGTTTAAGAAGCTTATACACAAAAGCTATCTTTCATTACCCAAACACTGACCAACTGGCAATGCAGGTTCTAACAACAGAGGCCTGGAAAGGTGTACAATGGGCAGGAACTCTGTCCAAAACAGTGGTTTGGAGGTACCTATCAGCCCTATTGGAAGGTGGTTTGCAAAAGTATCAGGAAATACTGGAATGAACTTTGGATCTTTAAGACAACATATGCCCATTAAAGTAATCAATCTGGAGTCACTAATTCAAGTAACTAATAAAGGAAACTTAGCAGAAACACACTGGCCTGACTCATTCAGAAGAAATTACAGACAAACAGAAGCAGCAGTCAGTATTTAAATTAAAGGGTGCAAGGTTCCTTGACTGGTTAGAACCAACTCCCTAGGAATGGTCACAAGTAGTTCCTAGAAATGTAGGTAAATGCTGATGCAGCAAACCCTGAGCTGAGGCTGGTGAACTGAGCTGGAAAACTATGGATTAAGCACAAAGACTAGCATCCCTCCCTTTCCTTTCAATGGGAGGGAGGAAAGAAAATGCCCTTCTGCTTTGAACTTGCATCACCACCTATAATTCTTAAAATTCAAGTAGGTTTGAGCAAAGTCCCAGCTTCCTCCGGACTCCCTACCTCTGCTCCTTCTGTAAAACAAATACTGTCCTTTGCCCTCACCCCACAAGACAGTGCTGCTCCTAATCCCACTCAATCCATACTCAAGTCATTGACAGAGCAGTTCCAGAAGGAAAACAGGTACAGCACTGCAGAGTTACCAGGCAGGATGCAAGGGTGTCAACTTCAGTCCAATTCCCAATTTCTGTTTTGGGTTATGAGCTGGTCTAAGTCTCATAGGCCATTCCCTACCACACAAGGGATGTGGTGCCAAGCTCCCCATAGTTTCTAGTCCTGATGAACAACTACCCTTTCCCCTGCAATTGAATCTATCTTCCTAGGCTCCCACAGACTTACAGGGCCAGTGAAGCCAGGGTACCTACAGGGCAATGAAAGAGGCATGCTTACTCTCCCTAGGCCTGACCTGACCAGACCCAACCCAACTCTTGCACCTGGAACATGGCTAGGGAATAGGATATACTGACCAGTGGAAACTTGATAATCCCCAGAACAGTGACCCCTTGCCAACACAAATCTAGAGGTGACTCTAGATCACTAAAATAAAGGATCAGGGTGGCAATTTACCCTCACCATCATAGGGTACAACAGGCTTCAGGCTTGACCAAGAGGAAGGTGGTAATTTCTATTTATGACTAACTTAATACTAAGAGCATCACACACACACACACACACACACACACACACACACACACACACACACACCCTGCCCAAAAAGAAAAAAATCCACCTTCTTTTGGTCCCTAGTGACAGACATGATTCTGAGCTACTGTAAGCTGCAAGGAGGCTTACCTAGGAACATTTCTGAGATTCGTAAACATTTACCCTTTAAATCCTAAACAAACATAAATGTGTGGAGACTGAGGTATTTGTGCTGAGCATGGAGTTCCCTTGGAAGAGGATCAACTTTTGTGATTTGTCTCATACAGAATACACCAATTTTTACCTATTTTCAAAAATATATCTAGAAATAATGACAAAGGCACTGTTCAAAATACAACTTTTTGTTGTCATTAATGGACATAACATCCTAATGTTTTCTGCAGACTTCTGTGGAAATCTGAATCAGCTTTCCCCATGCTTAGGACACAAAAACCAAAGCTCAGGGAATAAACCCTGAGGTCAGGAAATACACCTTTAAAATGGGAAGGAAAAGGAAACCAGATGTAAAGAGGAAGATGCAGTCGTCAACCACCTGAAATCCAGACCACCATTCCAGTAACCAAACTCCTATTCCCAAGCTCTATAAACAGAATGGTCAAAAAAAAAAAATGGGACCTTTCTCTTACTGAGAGACCAGAATAGGCTCCAGCTTTCGATTCTGTCACCAACCCACTCATTCAGTGTGGCCTTGGACAAGGCACTTCCTCTTCAGGCCTCAGCTTCCCTAATCCTTCCCATCCTTAATCACACGGGTGTTCTCTGAAGCACTTAATGGAAAGGCTTGATATCATTCAAGTAGTTATTAATAAGCAACATCAATCATTTTTACTATTCAGTTAACTGCTTTAGCTTTTCACAGAGTTCCAACATGTTCCAACACAGCATGTTGAATCATTTTGAAAACAGAAAAACCACTGTTCTAAAATCCCAATCCAACTAGTTAAGGTTTGTTGACCAGCTCACTCCATCAATCTGCTTGTGTGCCCAATGACACACATGGGTGTAGTGCAGAAGAGACCCCCTGCTCTCCGAAATACAGGCATAGATGAGGGCACAACATAGGCGGTGGGAGTTTTTATGAATAGCTTCATCATGTTAATGCCAAATACTTGTCTTTCTTTAAATGGACTACTTTGCTACTAGCTGGAAAAAAAATCACTAGTCACTCCGTATGCCCTTCCCTTCCCAGTATCTGACAGGGCTTTGAGAAATACATTGGTGACACAATCTGGAAATTTTCCCTATTGGGATCTGGAGCTACAGCTGTGAGCTATGAAGGCTACATATTCCTCCATTATTCAAAGTGTCTGTTAGGTAGATCTACCTAATGTCCAAGGTAGCCAACTCCTGTAGACCAGCGAATGAGTTCTGACTGTGAATTAAAGATAAAAATGGGAGAAGAGACAATCTCCTCTAGATCTCCAGTAGCTCATAGGGGAGTTTCTCAGACTTCAAGTCCTTTTTCACCATATTACACATCTTTACTGGGTTGGTTTTTGGTTTTTGTTTTTTGCTTAGACAATTGGGGTTAAGTGACTTACCCAAGGTCACACAGCTACTAAGTGTCATGTGTCTGAGACTGGATTTGAATACACATCTTTATTAAGAAAACATTCTCTTCCTTAAACTTTCCTTTGAGTTTTAATTCATTAATCCCCTAATACTACTTCATCTGTCTACAGACTGTCATTATCACCAGGGTTCCCCCCTTCCTGGTTAGTGATCTTAAATGTGTATCCACTTCCTTAAGAGATAAAAATTAGGTTTTAAAGTCTTTCAGCCCTTGAAATAGGAACCATTTTTTTTCCTATTTTCTGACCTCCCTTCAGTGTTTACTCCTCTGCTGTGAGAATAGGAAACAAGATCGGCTTCAGAATATTCCCTCTTTTTATCATTCCTCCCCCATTCAACAATGATTCATTCTCTCTCTCTCTCTCTCTAACCTCCATCCTACCCTTATTTCTGTGATCACCCCAACAGATAACTTTATTCTCCTATATTTTGGGTAAATTATTACAATCAACTGAGCTCTGATACAGTGCTTATTTAAGGAAATGAAATTAAATCAAATCATCTGCAATGATCTAACTGGGCATCTCTGACAACTTAATAAAACAACATTCCTCTCATTCTTCATTTACCTTTTAAAAATTCAATTCATTGTTAAGTTTTTAAGTCCATTCAACAGTGTTCAAAGAAACCCCACCCCACCCCATGAAAAATCTGCTAGAGTCCACCATCCAGTGCCTTCCTGTAACTCAGTCTTGCATATCTTGTCTACCTTGAACATGCCAGTGTCCCTATATCATTGGGATAAAAAAAGACCCAATTTCCCAATGAATAACTGATGGCAATAGTACTTTTTATCCCAACTTTTTATAAAAAGTCTCTGTTCACCCCCCTCCCTGTACCTGTTTTCTAACAACCTCACCCCTGCCTTCCAAATTCCTTCCCTATGTTGCCCTTTCCCGGCAGTCAAAGAGGGCTGTGTCCTGGGGTGGGGAGAGGACTGGATCCAGGTGACTGGTACCACAGAGCCTCAGACACTTTGCCTCCTGTAGGCTCCGTGAGGCACTTCCTGGCAGCAGCAACCTCCCTTAAGTGGAGAAAGCCCCAGATTAGAGACTTTCCTGAGGTGGGTGGAGAAGGGACTAGATATTTTTTGCTGTGGCCCAGTCAAAAAAGTACTCTTTACAGACTGAGATTAAGTGCTGGTAAAGTGAGCAGAAACCACCTACCTGCCCACCTGGAGATGCTTTTCAGGCACTAGGGCAGGAAGGCAAATTTCCCTGCCTTCCACTGCAATGTTATCCCAACGCCCAGGGATCTACTGCTCAAGAAGAACTCAGCAACAGCACCAATGAACAACCACTGAACCATGACACCTACATGATTATAATATGAGAAATTTCAGCCTACTTAGATTCATTCATTCATTCGCTATTTTTACCATTAATTCTACTATGACACCTTAATGTCCTTTCTTTTTTTAAAAAGAGAAGGCTTCTATCTGCTTATTAACAATTCTCAGCTATTTCCCTAAGTTCCCACTGTTTGTGGAAATAAGTGCTAGCAGTCCAAAGTCACTGGTACTATCTTGAACAGTCTATGTTGAACAGTTCAGCCTTCCTCCTGTTCCCCTCCTATAAGGCCCCAGTGCAGCCTCCTTTTGCTTTGCTCCCTTTATATTGTTTTCATTTAGCACCTCTATGGCAGACTCCAAATGGCCTATTTAAGTATTTCCACACGCAGCTCACTGTATTCTAGCTCCCCTACCACGTTCTTAGTGCTTGGTGCTGGCTCCTTTCTAATTTATTCATGAGACTGCTCTTTCTCAACCAGAGAATGACACACTGCAGTGTCCCAAGACTTCCTAACAAAATTTGGTCTAACTGTCCCTGAATACCACACGGGGGCTCTTGTGGAGCTTAGAAAGGCCACATATAACCGGCAGAAAGAAATCTGACTTGCCGGGTGGGATACGTTCTACTCTCTAGTGTCAAAAACAGAGCTCATCAAGAAGTCAGACCAGATTAGTATTCTGGGAAGATGAAGTAATTGTAATATACTTGTCAAGATTGCCTCACCTGACCCCACCCCCCCAGATACCAATTATGTGTTTAAAAAAGAATTCACATGAACCATGGATTGAAAAATCAAGAACGTTTTCTTAACCTCACTTTTCTTTTCATGTTCCTGCTACTGGTAGTTAAGACACTCTAGGCAGACGCTACCTTACATATGCCATTTAACAGAAGGAAGTTAATATTTTTTTATTTTTCCAGTGTTTAATTCTACAATCTCTCACCCCAGATACCACCATTAGCTGCTGGTATAGCTAGAATTGGCACTAACAGCTCAGACTAGAGGAGCTAGAGAACTGCAAGGCTTCTCAGAGAAAATCACTTCAGGTCATGCTATACTGAAAAGGGTCACTATCCATTGTAAAAGATAGTTTTCCTCCTCTTCCCTCTTTTCTCCCCTTTTTTCCCCTTTCTGCCTTGTTTTCCTTCCCTCCTTCTTTTTCAAAAAGAATGGAACATGTATGTAAAAGTTGTCAACCAAATTCAGTAGCAGCCCAGACTGTAAAGAGTTCTTTATCATTGTTAAAGTACCTTCTGTTACAAATCAGACATGAATCTGGTCCCTGTACTTAAGATAGTGAGAGTTGCTTCTTGTGTCTAAGGTGTGTGTGTGAACTCAAGGCCAACAGTCATCTGCCTGGGTATGTATCATTGCTTATTAAGACATTCTGACAATGAGATGTATGGATCCAGTCAATACAGTCAAGCGCTGACCAGACATACAATAAAAGAACAGTAAATTTTTTCAACAACAAATTGCAAATGAGATAACATTTGCTGACTTCATAACAGAAATAAGCATGGTAAACAAAATTGCGCTCACATTTCAAGATCAGATTCAGAAATAAGTAGGACAATCTTCTTTTCCATCAGCATATTTATAAAACCAATGGAATTCACACTATTCCACTGGAGGGGTTATGGGGAGGAGTAAAGAATCAGAAGTTACAGGTGCCATGAGCTGGGAAAATAAACCCTGGCAATACAGTTTAAAGTCCAAAAAGTTCTTCATAAATAACACAAAGGATTTTTAACATGCAATCACTTATATTAAAAATGCCAGTGTTTTCTCCATGTGACATACAACCACTGTCCAGAGTCATGAATTGTGATTTGCAAACAACTTGGTTCCTTGCTTCCCATAACCAAGAATGTTGGCTTAGCGGCTGCCAATTCATTATAAGGAATGCAGGTTATCATCAGAAAACATTTTAATTATATACAAAAGTGATTATCAGGATGATTACATAAAATACAGATGTAAATGTACACCTTCTATAGATTCAGGTAACAATGCTGTGCTTAGCAAATTCACTGTTTCTCATTGCACTAAAGAGCTTGGACTGAGGTGAGAGGCACTAAACATCAAACTCCAATCACAAACTAGGGAAACAACAGAAGCACAAGTCAGAGTTGTCTTCCTTTTGGGCAAAAAACCAACCAATATTGGTGGCTTCAGAATGAATGGCTCGCTCTTCTTACACTCCAAACGAGGACGTCATTAGATTTATGTGTTTCATAATCAAACTGAGTGGGAAAAAGGTTCATTCTGGGCTATGATTGTGGCATGGCAAGAGGCCTTTGCTGATTTACATTTTACAATACACCTCATCTACAAGAGTAGAATTTCAAACTTGAGGATGAGCTCATGAAATTCTCTCTCGAATTCTAGGAACATTAAAAGTCCAACAAACAACACCTTCAGACGCCATTCTGCTGCCAATGCATTTTGAAAATCCCAAAAACCGAGGTTTTAAAAAAGGGATTTGGATCCCTGATTTTCAAACTCTGACCAGGCATCATTTAATTCCATGAAGATCATTTTGGCATACTGCTCATATGGCTGCCCGGCGGCCTGGGAAGAAAGAAAAGACAGACATCAGAAACTGGCGGCCTCCTCTATAGAGACTCAAGCAAGTCTCACCTGGCCTTGCCTCTGTCCCCCCAACCCCCAATTTCTACAGCACTAACCAGAGCCACATGGCAAAAACTGAGAGCAGTCTAGTGTTGGCCAAGCACCTAAGGCCACTCACAAAATGCCCACAAAGTCGAGCATGAATTTTAGACAAAAGCTCCTCAGGGCAAGAGGAGCTACAATTGGGTGGCTGTGTAGATCAGAGATGCTTCACTATCACTGACAAAGTGGCTCTGAATAGTCTGTTCTTTTACCACTCTCCCAAATCTCAGCTGGTAAAAACATCCCATGTAATTTGCTCTTGAGGTGAATAGGCTTTAACACTGGCAAAAGCCTAACCCTGGCCGAGGATTGTAAAGTTACACATCAGAGTCAAAAAGTTTCTTCAGGCACATAAATTCCTTCTCAATTCTCCCCTGGTTCAAAGGGTAGGTAGCAAGCTCAGCAGGAGTTCACAAAGGAAAAGGTAATGTAACAGCTGCCAATACAAGCAGGTGTGATTTAAATAATGGTAGCCCATTGCTGTGGGCTTCACACCCTCAGCTGTAATCAGAGGCAATTCTCTCATCTGATCCTCACAACAACCCTGGAAGGACAGTTCCTGAGACAGCATTCTGCCTATCTGATGGGTGAGAGCCTCGGCACTCTGTCCTTGATAAACCTTTGGGCTAATGATCTAGCCTTGGCTTCACAGATCTTCATAACCCTAGAGGAGCTAAGCTAGGTAACAGGTTTCCAATCTGCTCTGAAGTATCTCAGATCACAAGCAAGGCACTCTCTCCCTAGTCATTCAGCACAGGGGCCTTCTCCTAATTGCGATCTTGAACATACAAGGATGAGATAAACAACAAAGACAATAAGGATAACAACTAAACAATTAGTCCTGGACAGTTACCTCAAAGCAAGGTACTAACAAACCTATATAGGGGCAACACACAGAACCTTCATTATTTCCCCTTCCTCTCCCCTCCATCAGCCACCCCAGAGACATCCAGATAACAAATGTGTGTACCCAACACCAATCACAACAGCAAGAAAGTACACATGACTCTACATAACCCATCACCAACTAAAACATCCTCTTCCTCCCATCCATAGTTCTTCAATAACAATAATAGCATTATCCATGAAGTACAGCAACCTTTTAAATTCACCCTCCTTCACCAGCACATGACAATTTGCTTAGAGATCAGAGCACACAACAGACTGACTTAAATCCTTCAGCTAAATGTAAATGTTACATAGTAACATTTCATTTGCTACATTACAACATTTGATTACAAAATAGTCTTAGAAGAAAATGTGAGTTATTCAACAGAGCTCAAGGGTCCAAAAATAGATGTTTTAAAATATTCAACAAATGTTTATGCTTTAATGTTGATAAAAATAAAAATTATTCAGTTTAGTGCCTGCAGTAAAGGCATCCACTTGGGCTGAAAAGCTTTTCCAAGTCCTCATGGCCTGACTTCATAATGCTTGCAGTTCAAAAACAAAAGGTGGAGGGTGGAGGGGGAGGGAAAAGGAGAGGGAGAGAGGGATAGAGAGGGAGGTTGAGGAAGAGGGGAGAGGAAAATTCCACAGGTACCTTGGATGCTCACCTTGTCTGGATGAACCACCAGCACAGCCTTTCGATAGTACTTCTTCACCTGCTCAGGAGTCACCAGGTCTGCCATGCCAACTGGCTTCCATCTGCTTTCTCCCTCCCAAAGCACCATGTGCAGTGTGGAAATTAGTGCTCTTATATTCCTCTCTTTTCCTTCAATCCAATCGAGAAGCTGAGAAGGTACAGAAAAAGAAACTTAATCTGTATATCTGCATACTCTTAAATTTTTCAGTTCATTCATAAAACTCTTTATATGACTTTCAGGAACGCCTGGTATAAAAACTCTTTCCACCAAAGATGATGCACTCCTCTTTTGTAGGTTACAGTCTTACGTGAGACATCTACAATGCCATGTGCTACTTTTCTTTTTAAAGAGAAAAAACATGATGACCTTTAGACTGAATAACTATCTTAGAATTAGCTAAAATAAACAGGATTTACCACATTAAAAATGTAAACAAGAGTTGTAGAACTGTTTTAATTCAAGTAATAATATTAAGGTTTTGTAAAAATAAAAATAATTTGAGATGTTTCTCAAACAGTCGAAAACCATATATTTACATACAACTGATGCTATAATTACTTAACTCTACATTAAAGCTAGTGTTATTAGACAACACTTGTTAACCTAGTTTGGTTATATTAAAATATACTAGAATTTAAAGTTTTCACTTATTCCAATTGACCTCCAGGAATTAATTAGGCCTAGGTTAGTGAGATTTTGATATTCCTTTAAGACAAGAACTAGTACCATTCAAAATAACAGCTTCTAATTACCATGAGTTCAGCTGATTACAAAATGGAGCTAACAAAGACTTGTAAAACCATCTAGTTAGGGCAGTTAGGTGGCTGAGTGGAGAGAGGTCTGGCCTTGGAGTCAGGAGGACCTGAGCTCAAATTCAGCCTCAGACATTTCACACTCACTAGCTGTGAGACTCTGGGCAAGTCACTTAACCCCGATTGCCTCACCCTCGCCAAAAAAAAAAAGCCCATTTAATTCATTCACACACACACACACACACACACACACACACACACACACACACACACATTTTTATTAGCCAAGGTCATATAAACAGGTATCACCAAGACTAGAATTCAGGTCTCAATTTCCACTAGGTTGCTGCACCAAATACTAACTTTACTTGGGAACTGGTCCTGAAAATAGTTAGAGATTATAATAATAATCTTTTACCAGGGCTCAAAAACTCTGCCTAAATAAAATGGTCTGTTGGTTACCAGAAATAACCTCTGCTCCTTTCCTCTAAACTCTAACCCTGTTCTGCTGGCTTTTGCCCTTACCCTGAATCACAAAATGAGATGCCTGAGTTAGGAGGGACCTAGGAGTACATACAGTCTAATGACTACTTTAATAACACATGATTCGGCTTTGTTTTATCACCAAGAAGTGTCCATTCAGTGCTATTTGAGTATAGCCAGTGATAGGGAATGTATTAATACCCACCATCTTGACAAAGCAGCCCATTCCACTTCTGGGCAGCTCTAACTACTGAGGAAGTTGTTTTTCATGCTGACCCATAGTCCCAGTTCTCCAATCCAGGACTAAATACAATAAACTTAAATCCTCTTCTACATGGCAACTCATTAAACAGTGAAAAAACAGCTGTCATGTTTCCCTCCTTAAATCTTTTTTCCTCCAGGAGAAATAAACATTCTCAATTTACTCAACATAATCCTTGTATGGCATGGATTCAAATATTTTCATTATCTGGGTTATACTCTGGATACACTTCAGTTTTTTAGTGATCCTCCTAAAACATGGCATCCTAAATTAGAGAAAACACTCCAGATGGCGTCTGAGAAGCCCACAGGCCAACAGGACTATCATATTCCCTACTCTGAACACCATACTACTATTAATGCAGCCTAATGTCATATTATTATTAGTGGTTATAGTCATACTGTTAACTCCTACTGAGCTTGCAATCTACTAAAATATCCAGGTTTTTTTTCACATGAACTATTACCTAGCCATACTTCTTCCATTCCTGCTTTTATGCAGCTGACTTTTGTTCTAGATTTTTTAAAATTGTGAATTAAACACCAAATAAAACATTTCCATAAACAGAGTAGAAAAGATTATATATGATAATGCATTATGTAGAAGTTTGCTCTTCTTTTAAAGTATATAATAAATTCAAAATATAATTTTCAAAGCTGCCTTGCTTGTCTGTGATTCCTTTTGGCCTTCTGTTCTCTTCTGTACATTAAAAAAAAATCCTTCACTGACCTTTTTTCTTTTGGCAACTCTATTTCTAGTCCCTGAAAGGGAAGGAGGGAGGGAGGGAGGATCTTTGTAACAAATAATCAAACAAGGGATTTTATCTGCACCCATTAAATTTTGACCCATCTTACTAAAGTCTGATTCCTTCATCTAACTAAATGTTAGTTAACCCCCCTAGTCTCATGCTTTACTGAGAAGACTGACCATCCAACATGAGCTCCCTCATATTTTTCAGTCTACTCCTCTTCATCATTCTCTTTTCATATTCCTATTGCTTGCCCTCCCGTCTCTTTCATGAGTTTGCCTTTTTAACCATCCTCCCTCTACCCCCCTCCACCTTAGGCCCACTAATCTTCAATTTCTCCATATCCACTCATGCCTTCCCTGCAGCCTATAAACACCCTACGCCTCCCCAATCCTTAAAAATCTTTCCTCTGTCTTCTCTTCATAAAATATCATTTATATTCTGTCTCTCTTTAGAGCAAAATAGATAAGGCATTTACTAAGCACTTACTAATAAATATAAGTAAAAGTAAAGACAGTCCCTGCCCTCAAGGAGCTTACATTCTAATGAGGGTATAATCAGGTTAGAAGTGAGCATGGCTGGCCTGGGCATCTCCTCAAATTTGAGGTTCCAGGAAGGAACTCACCAATCAGAAGAGAGGTCTGTAGGGATAGAGGCATCTCCAGAGAGATGAGGTGGAGGTAGAAAGTCAAGAGTCAAGATTAGAGCTAAGACGTGATCATGGCTTGCCCAGGCACTTCCTGACATGACTTCTTAACTCCTAGGGAAAAAAATCTATCTTCCACTTCTCCTCCTCCCACTTACTTTGCAATCTCTTGCAATCTGGATTCTGAGCTCACTGCTCAACTAAAACTGGTCTCTTCAAAGTTACCAACAATCTTTTGATTGTTATGTCAAATAGTCTTTTTTCATACTTCATCCTTCTTGACCTCTCTGCATCTGATACTACTGAGCAAGCAATGGCTGGATACTTACTCCTTCCTGGGTTTTCACGACACTGCTCTCTCCTAACTGCTTTCGGTCTCCTTTGCTGGATTCTTATCTACGTCCCACTCTCTAACCACAGGTTAGCTCCACAGTTCTGTCTTGGGTCTTTTCTCTTTATATTCTTTTCTCGGTGACTGCATTAGCTTTATGAGTTCAACTGTTGTCTCTATGTAGATAATTTTATATATCTAGACCTAGTCTCTCTCCTAAAATTATCTCAAACTCAACATAATCCAAACCACTGTCTTCTTTCCTAAAGCAACTCTTACTCAAAACATCATTTTTTTGTGTTCTGCAGGAACCATCACACCTTCTAGCCACCCATGGGACATCCTTGGATCTTCATATCTTATTTGATCCTAACTCTCGTCATTTGTGCCATTGCATGTCTCATATTGTGTTCCCTTCCCTTCACTCACATGGCCACCACAAGTTTAGGCCTTCTTCAGCTTTCCCTGGGCTACCTGCAATAGGTTCCTAACTGAACTTACCAGTGTCCTGTCAATCCCTCTCTGATTCTGACAAAACAATCATCATTAAGTACAAATTTGACTGTCATACCCCTGCTCAAGAGCACAGAGAGGTTAGGTGACTTGCCCAGGGTCACACAGTGTCTGAGGCGGAATTCAAACCCGGGTCTTCCTGACTCCAAGTTTAATGACCTATAATCACTGTACCCCATTGTCTCCAAAGCTATTCCTTCTCTAGAGGAACTGCCACTGGTACAGTGAATAGAGTATCAGATCTGGAGTCAGGAAGACCGGAGCTCAAATCCACCTTCAGGCCCTTACTAGCTGTGTGTCACAGAGCTGGGCACTTGTCTGCCTCAGTTTCCTCATCTGTAAAATGAGAATAGTAACAGCATCTACCTCTCAAGGTTATTGTGAGGATCAAATAAAGAAATATTAGTAAAGCACTTAATAGTGCCTAGCACATAGGAGGCCATTCCCTCCCTCCCTCTAGTCCATCTCCTTATCACTATGTGAATATTCTCTTACTGAATTGCTCTGATCATTTCACCCCTCTTTTTTCCAACATTTCTAGAAACACTCCATTGTCTACCAAATAAGACATATGCCACAGCAATGCAGATTTTTACAGATGTCTTAAAATTTGTAACAAATTTAATTTTAAGAAATAGAGTTGTGTATTGAGTGCTCTTACTCTCCAAAAGAAATCTTTAAAAAAATTTATTCTACCAAACACCTAAGTAACACAAGTTAAATCTGAAGTAATTTGGAGAGCTAAAATTATTTTCTATCACTAATAACAGAGCAATAATCCATTACTGTGAGTCTTATCTTATTTGCTGGATCAGTTTTTCTCTTCCTGCCCCTTAAGTGTGGGTCCTTCTCTTGAGAACCTGTCTTCAACCTTCTCTTCTCTCCCTATTCTTTCTCCACTCCCAAGTGAATGAGTTTTCCAGTGATTTCAAGAGAATTAGTTTAGTGGAAGAGGACTGGATTTGAAGTTAAAGAGCCTGAGTGCCTATGTGACCATAAGTAGGTCACTTACCCTCTCTGTTCCTCAGTTTCCTCACCTGTAAAATGAAAGAGCTGAGCTAGATGCCCTATAATGTACTTTCCAGCTAAATCTTTTAAAACTCTGATCACTTTTATCAGATGACTGCCAAATCTAGACCCACCCTTTCTCCTATTCTCTAGTCCCACAACAGCCTATTTGTCTTCACCTGAATATTTCCTAAATGTACCTTGCACTTAATATAAGTAAGTCATATAAATAACCTCATCATCTTCCCCCTAAGAGCTGACCAGTCAACTTCCCTTGCCCTCTGCTTCCAACTATCTGCCAAATCCTATAAACTCTCTCTTGGGAGAAGTTCCCACATCTATCACTTCCTTTCTTTTCACACTTTCAACAGCCAAGGTCAGGCCCATCATCTCATGCCTGGACTACTACTATAATATCCTCCTGTCTCCAGGCTCTCATCTCTCCAAACAACTTTCACACAATTACTGAATATTACCAAATTACCACATTACCACAATTACTAAAATAACCTTCCTGATAAAATCCAAATGAGATACATAAAGCACTTTGTCAACTATGGCATTATATATGTATTTCTACATATATACATATGTATTAGCTAATTATTTCTATTATTATTTATGATAACTTAAAGCACAATTTAACCATTTCATTTCCCTAGTCAAAAAAGGATAAAACACAAAGTGTTTAACCTACCAGTCAATGACCTTCACAATCAGACTCCACTTACATTAACAGGCTTATTTTATTTCCATTTCCCTTCATATACCCTTAAGTTCCCATCAAACTATATTATTAGCTGTTCCCTTCTCCCTCTGTTCAAGCCATCTTTCAAGACACAGGGGCAGGCTCCACCCAAGATCATCATCTAAAATATTCCTCTCAAGTACAAGTTAAGTACAGTCCCCTGACGAAGCTGCCCTTGAGCCAACCCTGCTGAAATTGATAGCTCTCGCTTCACATTGTTCATAGCACCACTTGGTTCTTTCCTTTGCATTTGGCATATTCTACTTCTATGTGTTCATGGTATGACCTCTCATTAAAATATAAGTTTCTTGAAAGCTGGTGTTACCATTTTTATCTCTCTATCATCACAGTCTAACACAGTCTACTTCATACTGAAGGTGCTTAATGTTTGCTGAATTGTGGCAGCGAGAGATATCATAGAAGAACACTAGACTTGGAGCGGGAAGACCCGAGTCTGAATCTGGCCTCAAAGACTAACGGTGAGCTCTTGTTCACATCACAATTTCTCTCCATATCTCAGTTTCCTCTTCTGTAAATGGGAATAAGAGCCTCTACTTTATAGGGTTATTATAAGGGTTAAATAAAATAAAAGATGTGTAAACCATTTAGCAAACCTTAAAATGCCACGTAAGTGTCAGCTATTATTTGTACTAAATTCAGAGTATGAAAACATTATATTTCTCTAAATAGTCACTGAAAATTATGAGTTTTAAGGAACTTTGGTGGGACCCTAGCCCCATTTCTCATTTGATGTAGCATTCCTCTTTGACAAAAAAAAAAAAAAAGAAAATAAAGGAAAAATGGTATCTCGTTTCTACTTGACAGACACTTCCTGCCAAGGCAACCCCTTCCATTGTGGGACTGCTCAGACTGTTAGAAATGTCTTTCCTAGACTGAGATAAAACTTGCTTCCCTATATAACTTCAATTTGTTAGTTGTCATTCTTTCCTCTAGGGCTACAAAGAACAAGTTTGCCCCCTCTCCTCAATGACAACCCTTCAAATAGCTGAAGACAGCAGCTACAGCTTACCAGAATATAAGGGCAGGGATGGTCATTTTTTCATCGTGTATGAGCATCACCAGGTATAAGGCCTTGAATAATACCAGGCAGTTAATAACTGTTTGTTGAATTGAATTTTCCCCTTATTCTTGTCTTCTCCTGACTAAACACTCCCATCAATTGTACCTAAAATGATGACTTCATGTCCCCTCATCATTCCAGTTGTCAGTCTCCTTTCACAAATCTCCAGGGCAGAAGACAGCAGAGCTATCACTGCCTTCATTATAGACACTATGTTTCTATTCCTGACACCTAAATCAGAGTTACGGGATGTTTCAGGACTTGTACCATGCTGCTGCCGTGTATTAAGCTCCAACTAAGTTGTAAGGCCTAACAGGGTCTCTTCCATCTAGTCCCAGTGCAAATGACTATTTATAACTCTCCATTCTAAACTATCACCCCACACACCCACCAAAAAAAAAAAGAAAAGAAAAGAAAAAAAAAGAAAAGGAAAAAAATACCATCAAGCAATTTAAATGTGAGGCTTCACATTTTTTCCTGTTGAGATTCATCATTTCTGCCTGTCAAAATCTTTTAAAAGCTTGAGCCTGTTTTCTAGCTATTTCAGCATCAAATTAACTATAGACCTGATACCCATTAATCTAGGCCCTTTCCATGCCACAATTAAAATAACTACATATTGTTCTGTATTACCAAGCAAAAGACCCTTGGACTGAGTTGTTCCCAGAAGATACTCCTAGCCCCTGGAACTCTGGGTGGTCATTAATGGCTACATACTACCCCATGGAGCATTGTATTGTCTTGGCCTCTGCAGGGTCACAACTAAGAAAAGTATCATCTTGACCTCTTATAACATATGACTATGTTAGATAAGCCATCCTGGCTTTCTACCCATAAATAAAAATCCTTTAAAAGCAACTTCGTCACACATATCTTATAGCATCTTGGCACCACTGTAATGAAAACATCAAGTTCTTTTGAAAGTAATGCCCCTCCCCTTCTTTTGACACCATGAATGGATTTAAATGGTCAAACCTTTAGCTTGAGAGGATCCATGTCTTTAGACATCTCTTGCTTCCTCATCTCAGCAATTGTCTTTGGTCCTTTTTTATCAGATTTGGATGAAAATCCTTGATTGGGTAATAGATCTTCAAAATCATTTTCTGAAACTTTTGGCTTTTGAACTAATTGACAAGACAATAAAAAATAAAATTGCTTTGAAGTTGATGATATGTAACCCTTCTTAAAACTATATTTTCTGGGGCAGCTAGGTGGCACAGTGGATAGAGCACCAGTCCTGAAGTCAGGGAGACCTGAGTTCAAATCTGACCTCAGACCAAACACCTGACACTTACTAGCTGCGTGACCCTGGGCAAGTCACATAACCCCAAATGCCTAAAAAAAACCCCCAAAAAACCCTATATTTTCTCCCATATGAAAGACCACCTTTTCTCAAAGAAGCACATTACAAAAAGCAGCATATATGAGAGAGAAAGAGGAGAGGGGTGGAGGAAGGGACACAGAAGAAGGGAGGAACTGGTTTAATCTGGTGAGATGATACACAGACATACATTTGTACTGATGAAGTGTGGCCCTGAACAATACACTTGTTGTTTGTTGTTCAGTAGTGCAGATGGGTCTGATTCTACATGACCCTGCGGTCTTTGTCCATGCAATTTTCTTGGCAAAGATACTGGATTAAACCACTGCTATTTCCTTTTCCAGTGTGTACCCATTTTACAGAAGAGGAACTGAGGCAAATAGAGGTTAAGGTTAAGTGAGTTGCCCAGGGTCACACAGCTACTGTCTGAGGCCGGATTTTAATTTTCCTAAATTTCCTGTATCCACTGCACCACCTAGATGCCCCTGAACAAGACACTAATAAGACCCATAATTCTAACAAGGGGATAAACAGATAATCTAGTTTTCTCTAGTTGGTATGGTTTAGACTTAATCAAAAGTGTATGTAACCACTAGTAACTAGTAACTACTAGTCTAGTATAATAAGCATCAATTTTGTTTGTTTGTTTTTTCCAATATGGCTAAATAATTCCCTTTGGGAAACAGCATTATTCAACAGGATCCATACAGAGAGCTCATTATACACCATTAATCAATTTAACGTTTTAACTCTGTTCAGGTTGTTCCCTTCCCTGCCCTAGGGATTCAATAATGTTTTCCAGCTCAATGATCCTTTAGGACTAACAGAATAAAAAACCTAAAGACACCTATAACTTACCAAAACCGGGAGCTCTAATGCCCCTCTCTTCTCGTCCTCCAATAACACTGAAGTTCACAGAATAATTAGGTTTCGTCTGTGGGCTGGATTTGGTTTGTTGTGATTTTGCCTGGGAAGGCCATGATGGACCATAATTTGGGGGCTTTGTCTGCCATGGGCTCCCACCTTTTGAAGACTGAGTTGCTTTTGAGGCAAATCCACCAGGAGAAAATCCACAAGAAGAACCTGAAGGAAACAAGGAAGTTTTCATGGAAATAAGTGACCTTCAAAAACTACTGAAAACACTACTTCTGACATTACTGTCTTAAAAACCACTGAAAACAATGGCACAGCAATGTGAAGCTTAGAGGAATACATTTTCAGAGTGAAAATCTATATTGTAGCTTTCAATTATTCAAGATGCTCTGGATACAGAGAACATAGCTAACAGAACTCAGAGACATCAGCAGTCTCCATTCCTCCTCCAATTAGTCTTTTAAAGGACTTCTAACAGCTGGAAAATAGTACTGTGTTAGTACTCAACAAGGATACTTTGAATTTTCAAGGTTATAACACTAAATACAAGCCATCTGATATAACTGATGCTAAAATGATCACAAAATACTCTGACAGTCTATAAGGCCCAGTCTCCTAACCTGGAACAAAGGTTAAACCAAGGACCAATGACAATGTAAAACATCAGCTCATGCTTATAGATAAATCAACACTCTACTTGCCCACTAAATTCAAAGGGCTCACACCGCCCCCCCCCCCTCCAATGATAATGAAAGCAGAATAAATCAAGCTCCCTTCCCTTCCACTCCCTCCAACTCTTTGCTCTCCATGAATTTCATTGGCCTTAGCCAGGTTTTAAGTTTGGATGATGCGTAAATTCTTCTTTAGGAAATGGATATTTAAGGCCATGATTAAACAAATGCATTAACATCAGAATGAGAAAGAAGCAAAGTCCTCTCTTGAAAAGTTTGCTCTATGACTACATTACATTAGATTTCCCCCTTCTGGACCAACTGGGCCAACAGAACCAGTGGTGGCTCTATTTTCGCCTTTATAAAATGGAGATGATCATACTACGTCCCAGAGTCACTATGAAAAAAAGTATTTAGTAACTTTTCAAGCACTAAAGAAAGGTTAAGTTAATATAGCACAATGGCCAGCACTGGTTTCTTGCAAAGGCAATGCCCACTGCCAGGTACTAAAAAGTTTTAAGGGAGTAGATGTACTATATGTAACAGAAGATTACAAACATCTGTGTACTTCATTTTTACTTAAGTGTCTTTTTGCCTCATCTGTTTACTCATCTGTAAAATGGACTAGATGATCTCCGGTATCTTCTCCACTTCTAAATCCATAACGCTATGCTGAATAAATTGACAAGAACTGCACAGGAGAAAAAGGCATAAGGGGTTGTTGATTGCACCAGTGTTAAGATGAACCTCATCCCAACAACGAGAGTGACAGCTCATCCAGGTAAGTATGTCCAACAGAACCTCAGCCCTTTGCATCCAAAGCAGCACCAACATTGACCAGGATGTTCTGGATTACAGCTGAGCTAATTCAGTGAGCTCTGTAGCCCACGTTTTGTGCTTTGACAGTTAAAGTATAAGGCCACCTTATCCCTGCATGTGACCAACCAGCCAGGTGCCTGCATAGCAAGAAGCTAGAGGACCCAGCAGGGAACTCCCAGGAGGACTATATAAGAAGCACACTGCTCACAACTACAGAAGGCTGGGTCAGCCCGCCCTCTGGAAGAGAGGGCGGAAGGGACTAGGAAACTGAGGAGAGAAACTGCTACCTGTGAGGCCAATGTTTCCCACAACTTTACTTCCACTAAGGCCCCTCACCATCAGAGCAGGCAGCACAGGGTTGTCAAATAGGATTAACATACAAAGGGAGGTCAGAGAAAAACACCTTTGTAAAGAACCACTCAAAGATAAGGTAGGAAGATTAACAGGTATGAGAGCTTCTACCTTCCTTACTCCCCTCCATGTGCTGCTATCTCCTAGGTGCCTCACATCCTTCCTTCTGCTCTTCTTTCACATTCAATTATACTTATTCCTCTCTTACCCCCTATCTTCTCCTGTCCTATTCCTCTGCAGTAAAAAAAACAAAAACAAAAAAACAACCAGTCCTTCCCACAATTCTCACTCAACCATTCCAATACAGCTACATTCAACTATAGCGACAAGGTCTCAGCCCAGTATTTCAACCCCTTGAGATCTCTTTAGATGCCAAATGCCATCGAACACATTCGCTATCTCTCCCGGCAGAAACTTAAGAAGCATGCCATCTACGCCTTCATCCAAGTCGCTGAATAAATGTGGAATAGAATGGGGCCACACAGAACCTTAAGTATTTATTCCACAAGAGACACATCCTCAAACTAACACTGACGCAGTAATCCTCAAACTTTGGGTCCAGCCAATCAATCAGTCCTGAACCCACTTAACTGCTACCACACTTTGCCTGTGTCCATCCTGTCCACAAAGATCTCATGAGAGACTTGTCAAATGACAAGGCAAAACCGATATAACTCAGCATCCACTCAAAAATCTCCTGATCTAGTGCCTAGCAACTGTATCAAAAAACAAATTGAAGTTAGTCGGGCATAATTTGTTCTTAATGAACCTAAATTGTCTCTATGGAGATGACCAACACTCTAACTATGTCAACTTCTACCCACTGGTCCTAATTCAGCCTCCTGGGGCCAAATAGGACAAGTTTAATCCTTCTTTCATGGTACAGCCACCATGTTCTCATTTCTCTCACTCTGGGTTTCTCCTAGACTTAATATTAGTCTGTTTTCTTTTTCCCTAAGTAACTACAACAAAAGCTAAAATGACAATAAGAAGTACAGAATAGTAAGGAAGTTAAGAGGAAGGAGAGAGCACATCAAATTGCGGGGACTTTCCAAAAGTCATCAATAAAATTCTAGTAACCAAATACAACAATCTTTTCTCAAGGTTCATCCTCCTACATCACACTGAGTCCCAACTAGGAAATCAAAGGGGGAAAAAAAAAATCACACAATCATTTTTCCAGCCTAGGAAGGCATAGGGAGACATATAGAGAAGTATGTGGACTGGGGTTGGGGTCTAGCCAAGAACAGAGCTGGGAAAGACTTTGCAAGAAGGCAAGGGTCCCAAATCCAGCACAGAGGAACTTAACCTTGTGAAGAGTGCAGAATTGCCGCTCACTACTCAGGTCTTTGTCAAAGATCCAGGGCATACTGAGAAACGGACCTGAGCCTGGGGTAATGTTGGTCAAAGGCCCTTGGCTGAGTCCTGAGCAAGAAGCAAGTTCAGAAGCGAGCGATTGTTGCCTGGCTCTGACCCAAGAGGCCGAGCAGCAGGACCTCAGTTCTAGCTTCCAGCTTTCAGTCTTGTCTGAAGCTCCCAGAGGAATAACCAGGTCAGGAATAACAGACCCAAGGAGAGCCGACAGTTCTGTTCCTCTGAATCAGCAGAGCTTCCCAGGTGGCTGAAAGGGGTTCAGTCCAGCAGCATCTACTGTGACTCAGACTCAAACCTGGGTAAGAAGTTTGCAGAGCTCAGACCAGGGGAGCCTCCAGTAATCAGACTTTGCCCCACACCAGACTACTTCACGTGGAGCACTGAAAGATTGCAGGTCTCCAGCCCGAGCTGTTTCTGAGAACCTGGAATAACACAACACTCAATACTCCAGAAGAAAGCCGCCCCCAGATATTCCTCCAAAAGTGTGCAGTGCCTAAGCTTAACATCAAGTTCAAAGTCAGGAAGCAAGCTGAAAAAATAAGGAAAAAAAAACCCACCCCACCACAAAGACCTATTATGGTGATAGGGATGCTCAAGACACAAACTCAGAAGAACAGAATGACTCCAAAACATCTACAAGCAAAATGACAATGAAAAACACAGCTCAGACATAAATTCAACTTTGGAATTCCTGGAAAAAGAAGAAGGAATTAAAAAAAAAAGTTCAAAATGTTTTTTGTGAATGAAATGAGGGCATTAGAGGAAAGAAATCAGAAAAGGAATGAGAGCTATGAAAGAAAATATTGGAAAGGAAATTAACAGCTTGTTATAAGAGGTTAAAAAACCATGCCCAAGCAACAAACACCCTGAAATGTAGACTGAAATAGTCAATAAACATTTTAGTCAGGCAATAAACAGTTATTAAATGGCTAACAAGTGCCAGGCACTGTACTACGTGCTACAAGAGATACAAAAATAGGGGAAAGACAGTCCCTGCTATCAAAGAGTTCACAATCTAGCGAGGGAGACAATAAGCAATATGTACAAACAAGCTATATACAGAATAAACAGAAAATAACAGAGGGAAAGCACTAGAATACTTAGGGGTTGGGGAAGGCTTCCTGGAAAAGATGAGATTTTAGGTGGGGCCTGTAAGAAGCCAGGAGGGGTAAAAGATGATGTTCTATGAGACAATAAGAATATCAAAAGAAAGTCAAAAGACTGAAAAAATAGAACAAAATCAAAGATGTCTCAAAGGAAAAACAACTGACATAAAAAACAAGGGGCAGAGAAAAAAAATTAAAATCACTGTACTACTTAAAAGCCATAACTAGAAAAACAGGTTGGATGTCCTATTTCAAGAAAACATAAAACAAAATTACCTAGGTCTCTTAGAACCAGAAGGCAAAGTAGAAAAAACAGAATCTACCAGTCATTTTTTGCTGTTTCTTTCTTTTTTTTTTTTACATGTGTTTTTAAAACTTTGGGTTATAAATTTTCTCCCTTTCTCCCTTCCCACCCACCCTCATTGAAAAGGCAAGCATCTCAATATAGGTTATAGATGTGTAGTCATGCAAAACACTTTCAAAGCAATCATGTC